CCAAATTTTATCTAAGGGATTGTCAACCTTCTCAAGTAATGTAATGTTTTTTTTAAACATTTTTAACATTCACCTGAGCAAGCACAGAGGGTATTCCAAGGTCTTTACCACCTATAATGCAGCGTTACCACAGCAGTATCAGCACGGACTATTTGCTCACTGAATATTCTTTGGGCTCACAGTCTAGGCTGATGCTCCAGTGCAATGCTGGGATGGAAGAGGAGAGAACTACGTTGTCTAGAGGAATTACCCTTGTGGACATACTTAAACAAACCACACATCTGTGCCTGTTCAAGCATTAAAAACCCTGGGATACTGTGAGATTGGAGATAGATGGGAGTTTCTCCTGATGTCCTGTCTGACAAACTCTCTGAATGGCATACAACAAAGACTCCCTTGTCTACAGTCACTGCACTTTACAATAACACTGGGATCAGCCTCATCGTTCTCCTCTGTTCAACTATGGGTGGTGGGGGGGAGAGGGGGTTCAGCCTTGTGCCTCTCCACTGCGTTGTCTCTGACATCGGTGTCACCATTCAGTGTTGTCACTCTCCTCTGAGTTGTCTCTAACAGATGTCGGCTTGGCTCAGTCAGCAGCATACTTTTTATAGTACATTTATGCCCTGACATGGGATCATGTACATTTATAGAGCGCCTTTCACGTCGGGAGGACATCCGAAAGCACTGGATAAAATTGGTCACTCAGTGGCTGTGTCAAAAATAAGGGGATCAACCTCATTGTTCTCTGTGCCGTCTCTAACAGTGGGGATCAGCCTAGTCACTCTCCTCTGAGCTGTCTCAGTGGGTGAATTAAGACTCTGATGGAAAGCACACACTGTGGAACTGTAATTAATGTGCACAGTTGAAATTACAAGCTCCCTGGAGCAGTTTAGATTGTGTATCTGCTGATGTTAAGTCAGCTCCTGTGCCCCATTACACCCAAAAATGCCTTCATTTACACACGCAGGCCCATGCTGGAGATAGTGCGGTCAGCAAGGTCAATGCGATCAACACCAACACACCAAGCGAGGAGCGTGGAGACAGCAAGAAACCTCTCGTCAACCTCTGCTCGACCACAAGACAGCCCGGCTCGATCTGTTGGGGGTTCAAGCCCCACTTGTTAGCCCCACTTAACCCCACAAAAATATACAGTCACCACATTGGGGAGCGTTTAGCACGTCGCGTAGTGGTTAGAGTGCTCGCCTCGCAAGCGAGAGGACCTGGGTTCGATCGCATGTCAGGGAAAAACCTTACACAAGTTTCCTTACTCCACACACCTCCGTTTATCTAGCAGTAAGTAGGCACCCAGTGTTAGTCGATTATGATCATTTTCTTGGGGGTAATAATCCCTCCAAAAAAAAATAATAATTTGGTCACTCAATCCACGACTGTTTGAGAGACGCCGCTGCACGTATTTGACTGCCGTGTTTCGCCCACGAAATACACAGTCAATCCACTTTGCAATAGTATAATGATAATAATCCTTACATTTCCTATGGATGAGACGTCTCAAAGCACTTCACAGAACACACTGCAAAGTTTACTGGCGATTTTATATTTCTTGCAGCGCTTTGAGACGTCACGATAAGGCACTGTATCAAAAAAATCCAAGGCTTATTATTATAACAATTTAAATTAAGGCGCTATAAAAATTTAAGTTCTTCCTTTACTCCTGGCCGGGATTGGGGAGGGTGGGGGGTGGGTGGGAAACAGCAGTTGAGAGGGGAAGATGCTGTGTTGGAGACTGCGTAAACGCCAGTCTCTTCACCCTGAAAAGGGAATTTCAATAAAGGATTTGCGCGGTGTCATACCTCTGAATAATTAATGCCGAAATAAAGCAAACACAATTACAAACTGTACAAAAAGATACGTCCGTGGAGACAGCCCGTGCCACTCTGTCACACAGAGATAAGAGGCGGTGAGAAATTACAGATGTGTCCCCAGGACATCGCTCCTGTAGCTTTTATTAGCTGCGACAGTGAGAGCAAGGCACCTGCTTCCCAACACACTTCACAACAGCCATCAGAAAGACACTCTGTCCCCCCGGTTTTAGATCAATAATCCCCTACAAGGTACACAGTCACTACACTGTTCGGTTAATACTAGTAATAATAATCCTTACATTTGATATAGCGTCTTATCACATTGTTGAGCCATCTCAAAGCGCTTCACAGAATATTATTATAATAATAATAATAATAATAATAATAATAATAATAATAATAATAATAATAATAATAATAATAATAATAATCCTTGCATTTGATGTAGCGGCTTATCACGTCTTTGAGACTTCTCAAAGCGCTTCACACAATATACTGTAAAGTGAATTGACTGTGTGTTTTGCGAGTGAATCGCGGCAGCCAATTGCGCACAGCAGCGTCCCACAAACAGTCGTGGATTGAGTGGCCACATTATCATTATTTTTGAAAGGATTATTGCCCCAGAAAGCAATCCGCCATCCGACTAACAAGCGGGTTCTTACTAGCTGCTAGTTAACAGAGGCGTATGGAGTAAGGAAACTTGCCTAAGGTATCGCCCTGCCCGGGAATCGAACTAGCGTCCTCTCGTTTGAGAGCCGAGCGCTCTAACCACTACGCCACAGGGTTCGCATTCATGTCAGAAGGCCATCTCAAAGGATTGACTGTAAAGTGTGGTGACTGTATTTTGTGGACAACCAATTTGCACAGAGCAATCCCTCACAAACCACCATGCCACAAAGTACACAGTCAACTCGCTTTACAGTCTATTCTGTGAAGCACTTTGAGACGTCTCAAAGACGTGATAAGCCGCTACATCAAATGCAAGGATTATTATTATTATTATTATTATTATTAAGTGGTTTTATTCGGGGGAATTGTTGCCCAGGACACCAGGAGAGCAAAACTCCCTTCTCCTTTTGAATAGCGAATTCCGTCTTCAAATAATGAAGCATTTTGGATGATTTCCTAATGTGAAACATATAAATTGTTATTTGTTAAGCAGACAGTTTCCATTGTGCTGCTGAGAGGAGCAATGCAAGCATTTATATAAGGTGCGAGGACTGACAAAGATTTAAAGGTTTAGACAACAATCAAATCTCTTTAACGTGCATCGCTTATTGTGTCAACGAAGAGTGATGAAGACCTGGAGCTGAATGGCTGACCCACATTGAGGGAGACGTGGCAATGGGTTCTGCGAGCACTTGCCATTGTGAGGCAGAGGGAGGCGTTCAGCACTAAAGCCGGTAGCAATTAACGCAGAGAAGGTTTACACAATGCAGTGCAGAGTCACAGCACAGTGCAGACACACACACACAGTGCAGACACACACACAGCAGACTGCAGACACACACACAGTGCAGACACACACACAGCAGACTGCAGACACACACACAGTGCAGACACACACACAGCAGACTGCAGACACACACACAGTGCAGACACACACACAGCAGACTGCAAACACACACACACAGTGCAGACACACACACAGCAGACTGCAGACACACACACAGTGCAGACACACACACAGCAGACTGCAAACACACACACACAGTGCAGACACACACACAGCAGACTGCAAACACACACACACAGTGCAGACACACACACAGCAGACTGCAAACACACACACACAGTGCAGACACACACACAGCAGACTGCAAACACACACACACACACACACAGTGCAGACACACACAGCAGACTGCAGACACACACACAGTGCAGACACACACACGGTGTGGACACTGCAGACCCACATACAGTGCAGCCACATACACGGTGTGGATACACACACAGCAGACTGAAGAAACACGCAGCACAATGCACTGCAGGCACACACGCACACAATAAATACACACAGTACAGTCACACCCCTGCACAGACGCGCATATACACGTACAGATACACACTCACGTGCAGACGCACACACACACAGTGCAGCCACACAGAGCAGACTGCAGACACACACACACGCGTGCAGGCGCACACACACGTGTAGACACACACACAGAGCAGACTGCAGACACACACACACGCGTGCAGGCGCACACACACGTGTAGACACACACACAGAGCAGACTGCAGACACACACGCATACAGACGCACACTCACGTGTAGACGCACACGCAGTACCGGCGCACACGCAGTGCAGACACGCGCACACAGTGCACAATCTCACACACAGTCCAGACACACACACAGCACAGTGCAGAGTCACACAGCACGGTGCAGACATGCACATCGTACAGACACGCACACCATACAGACACGCACACTGTACAGACACGCACACCGTACAGACAGAGACACACAGTACATACACCCACACTTTACAATGCAGACACCAGTGAGCCAAACCCTGACAGTGGAATTAGAACAAAAAGCCATGATGAATCAGCCGGTTTCAGACAGGCCATCTGATCTCCGCCAACGTTAAGAGTCAGCGTGGCTCGGCTGGTCTGGTTACCACAGATAAATCCTATCCTAACACATCCACACGTGCAGCAGGGTATCTCTGGCTGGAGTTCAGGAGAGGTTTAAAGGGAATTGGAGAGGGTTGGAAGTAGAGATAGGCTGGGGTTCCATCAGACTGCTGGTCTGCTGATCATTGCTCACTGTGTGGGCGGCTGAACCTTCACTCCTTACAAGAGAGGCAAACCAACCCAGAATAATTCACAGCAGGGCTTCTTTTTTCGTAGATTATTGGACTAGATAGAAAAGCCAAGTGGAAAGGCTGGGAAGCAAGAGGAGGGTACAAGAGGGGGAGAGGGAAAACTAAAGGTAGAAATTGCACAGGGTGTTCACAAAATCCTGTTACTCCCCACCCACCCCCCCACCCCATTTTTTCTTGCAATTAATTTTTACTTTCTGTTGCAGATGAGTGCAGTGTAACAATGTCTGAAACCAGTAACTCTCTCCTCACTGACTCCACTGTGGCACCGAACACATGGCAATTGATCATTATGTGGACACCCTACAGTTGTAGGATGGATGGCTGACGTTGAGGTGCTTACCTGGCTCGGAAATGATCAGCTGCCCACTGGCATGTACGCTGCCCACGTCATTCTCCACCATACACTGGTAAAACCCTTCGTCTGACCTGACCAGCCCCAGCACTCTCAGGTTACTGCCGCTCTGCAGACACAAAGCAACGAAATACACAGTCACTCCACTTCACTAGGTCACTTCATTGGGTCACTCAATCCACGAGCGTTTGTAGGATTGAGACTGCTGTGTTCTTGCCCATAAAATATTCTCAATCCACTTAACGGTACATTCTGTGAAGCACTTTGAGGTGGCTCAACAATGTGATAAGGCACTATATCAAACACATGGATTATATTTATTATTGCACTTCACTGTAAATCTTGACAGCCCCCCCTTCCCCCACCACCCCTCTCCTCAGCACGCTATTGAAGTATCAGGACACCAGGAGAAACTGCTTCTCTGTGAAGTCGTGCAAGTGAATGGGTTTTAAATGGCTGTGTATTTGTTGGAGACCGAGGGAGTGGAGGCTCCGAGTTTCTGTGCGGTTTCAAGGCTCTGTTAATGTAAGGGACGCCTCAATGAGTTTGATGATATGAGTGCAGCGAAGCTTCATTTTGCGCTGTGAGCTATGTGTGTGTTTGACTCATTCTGTGAAACCAACCTTCACATTGCGCTGTGCTGCAATTACTGGTGCCCATGTACATAGCTAGACAGACAGACAGACAGACAGACCCACCCACCCACCAACTGACCGACCTCAGCCAGTTAAATCCGTGCATACATAATAATAATCATTATTTTAATCCTTGCACTTGATATCATGTTGATATTATGCCTTATCATGTTGTTGAAACCTCTCAAAGAGCTTCACGGAATATATTATAAAGTAAATTGTCTTATGTATTTTGTGGGTGAAACGCGGCAGCCAATTGCTCACAGTAGTGTCCCACAAACGGTAACGGATTGAGTGACAAAATATTTTTGTTTGGAGGACTTATTATCCTCGGAAAGTGCATCAATTGACTAACAACCGGGATCCTACTTACTGATAGATAAACTAAGGCCTGTGGAATATAAAAACTTGCCTAAGGCTACGCCCCACCCAGGAATCGAACCCGGGTCCTCTCGCTTGCGAGGCGAGAGCGCTAACCACCACATCTTTGCCATACGACAGACGTCTCTGAGCACTTCACAGAGACTGTGGGGAACAGTGCAGTGACTGGGACGAGAGAAGGAAGAGTTTAACAACGACAGGGATTTTTTTAGAGGATTTTGAAGACGGAGAGAGAAAGAAGGGAGGGATTTTGTAGCGTTCCACAGAGCAGGATCATAGTGGCTGATAGCTCGGCTGTGGATGGGTGAACAGATAATAGCAAGAATAATCCTTGCATTTGATATAATACCCTATCACATCGCCGAGACAGCTCAAGGATTACTGTAAAGTGTAGTGAATGTGCATTTTATAGGCAAACAAGACAGCCAATTTTATAGGACAAAGCCAATTCTAATGGCTTTCTTCCTCTAGCAGCCATGAAATGAATGGTTAATTATGTCGAGGGGATACTTTATCTGTGTCTCGAATGTGGTAACTGCTGAAGATTAGCCAGCTAAATCCATAGTGTTTAAGGGTGTCTAAGCAACTATTTCAGGACAGGGTCCAGGAAGTATTTTTTACTCAGAAGGCAGTTGACAAACAGAATGATGAACCCCTATATTCTGATATTAGCAACTCCATAGAACAATATTATCAGTGACACCTCTATATAGTCTGATATTAGCAGTGACAACTCAATATCATCTGATATCCTATCAAAAGGCAAAATAAATGAATAATAATTTGGTCAATCAATCCATTACTGCTTGTGGGACACTGCTGTGTGCAATTGGCTGCCGCATTTCACCCACAAAATATACGGCCAATTCACTTTACAGTATATTCTGTGAAGCGCTTTGAGACGTCTTGAAGATGTAATAAGGCGGTATATCAAATGCAAGGATTATTATATTAGTGGCGACACCTCTGTACAGTCTGATATTAGCAGTGAGCACCTCTATATAATCTGATATTAGCGGTAAGCACCTCTATATAGTCTAATATTAGCAATGAGCACCTCTATATAGTCTGATATTAGCAGTGAGCACCTCTATATAATCTGATATTAGCAGTGAGCACCTCTATATAGTCTAATATTAGCAGTGAGAACCTCTATATAGTCTAATATTAGCAGTGAGCACCTCTATATAGTCTGATATTAGCAGTGAGCACCTCTATATAGTCTGATATTAGCAGTGAGTATCTCTATATAGTCTGATATTAGCAGTGAGCACCTCTATACAGTCTGATATTAGCAGTGAGCACCTCTATATAGTCCAATATTAGCAGTGAGCACCTCTATATAGTCCAATATTAGCAGTGAGCACCTCTATCTAGTCTGATATTAACAGTGAGCACCTCTATATAGTCTAATATTAGCAGTGAGCACCTCTATATAGTCCGATATTAGCAGTGACACATCTATGTAGTCTGATATTAGCAATGACACTTCCATGAACAATACAATACAAGATCACATCTGACTTCCAAAGGCAATGGACAGTCTGGACATAAGCTGGCGGTGTTGGGATCAGGGAGGGTGGAGGGTAGGGAGGGCGGCCTAAGTTGCAGTCAAAGCCTTGAGAGGTGCTTTGAAGGAGGCAGCAAGGCGAAGGGAACGTGGGATGGAATTTCAAAGGGTGGGGGCAGAGAGGGTGAAAGACCAACCGCCGATGGTGGAGCAGGCCAGACGGAGCGGAGGGAGCGGACAGGTTGATATGGGGTCAGCAGATCACAGAGGTAGGAAGGAGCAAAACTGTGGAGGGCCTTGAATTGGAGGACAAGGATTTTGACCTCTGTTCTCTGGGGCATGGGGAGCCAGTAGAGCCGGTGAGGGTTGCGGGTGATAGGGTGGATGTTTTATCATTGTGTATACTGTGATAATACGACACTTTCTGCCATGAAACAATTAAATATCGCAAAATAGCCCACTCCCTCTGCGTGTGAGTCCCTCCCTCCAGTATGACGACAGACCCCTGAGATGGCTCACACACCACAATCTGAAAGTAATCGCTGGGGATGACCACTTCACCGTTCTTGATCCACTTGACAATAGGCGATGGCACTCCAGTGAAGGAACATTCAAACTCTATGTCCATACTCTCATAGGCGTACAGGTTGGAAGGGTATCTAACGAAGCTGGGAGGAACTGTTCATAAAGGAGAGAGAGAGAGGCAGTTAATAACAACACATGACACCTCCAACAGTCTTAACGATAACACCTCTATATAATCTATTAGCAATAACACTTCAATATAGTGGATATGGTTTCTTCTTGTGGGGTAAACAATTATAGGGTTTAGTTTGCGATTTTTTTAGCCAATTTTTTTGGTCAGCCACTCTGACATGTGCAGAAGTACATCACCGTGCTTTAAGTGTATCCAAACCATACTAATAAAAGTTCCATGAAATTGGGGGGGTGAATGGCCTACTCCTTTTCCTATGCCTCTGGTATTCCATTCCAAACAGAGACCCACTGCTTACCTAATTGCGGAGAGCATTTCTTGTGCTGGTTAACACAAGAAAGGGGTTCTGAAACTCCCTCAGATTTTATCCCTATGTTTCACCTCTCCCTGGGCAAAACAGCAAAGTCCCGAAATTCCTCATGGTCTTAGCCTGCGGATCACTTTGTCCAGCAAGACCTCTCAAAACTTAACGCAAAATACTGCAGATGCTGGAAATCTAAAGCGAAAACAGAAGTCACTCAGCATCTATACACAAATGAAAGTGAATTCAACGTTTCAGGTCCTTGGCCCTTCGTCAGAACTGGGGCACGTTGGATGGGAGAGGCTTTTAAGGGCTAAGGGAGGGGGGAGGCAAAGGAGAAAATGGGGTAGAGGACAGGGGATAATGAGGTGTTAATGATGGGAGGGGATTGTAACAAAGCAGGGGAATAATAATTATAATAATAATAATCCTTGCATTTGATATAGCGCTTTTCACGTCTTCTCGACGTCTCAAAACTCTTCACAGAATATGCTGTAAAATGAATTGACTGTACATTTGTGGGTGAAACGCGGCAGCCAATTGCGCACAGCAGCGTCCCATAAACAGTCATGGATTGAAAATTACCAATTTATTGTTTTTTGTTTTGGAGGGATTATTATCATATAGAGGTGTTAATAATGCAAAACAAAGGCGCGGGGGGGCAAAATTGGAACAAAATAGGCAGACCAGAGAGAGAGAAAAGGTGTATCTGGGACCCAGATGATGTGGAACAGCGAAGGAGACCGTGGATGGAGAGGCCAGAGTGCGAGTGGGACGGAGAGTTGAAATGGCAAGAAACTGGAAGCTCAGGGTTGTGCTTGCGGACAGAACAGAGATGTTCGGCATATCGATCGCTGAATCTGCATTAGGGTCTCCCCAATGTAGAGGAGACCACATCGTGAGCAGCGAATGCACTGGTGGTTGTACACGTAAATCACTGTCTCACTTGAAAACTGTGTTTGGGGCCCTGGACAGTGGTGCGGGAGGAGGTGAAAGGGCAGGTATTGCATCTCCTGCGCTGGCATGGGAAGGTGCCGGGGGAAGCAGAGGAACTGTTGGTGGTGATGGAGGAATGAACCAGGGGGTCACGGAGGGAACAGTCCCTTCGGAATGCTGAGAGGGGAGGGGAGAGAAAGATATGTTTAGCGGTTGGATCACGCTGGAGGTGCCAGAAATGGCAGAGAATCATCTGTTGGAAAATAATTCCAAAATAGCTGTTCCAGTGAGCCACAGCGCAAGCTCGAGGAACAGCACCTCATTTATCTGCCAGGAACCTTACAGCCCTCTGGCCTCAATATTGATTTCAACAATTTCAGACCATAACAGCTCACCCTCCCCCTCTTCTGTGACCATTACCACTGTGCCAGATACACCATTTCTCTCTCTGGTCTGACTATTTTGTTGCAACTTCACCCCCGCCTTCGACTTGCATTATTAACACGTCTAATCCCTGTTTTGTTGCAATCCCTCCCCTTTATTCTGCATCATTGACACCCCTTTAACCCATCATCCCCTGTCCTCTACCCCATTTGCTCCTTTCTCTTCCTTGCCTCTGTTAGCCCTTAAAACCCTTTCCCTCCCAACATGCTCCAGTTCTGACGAACATGTCGTGGACCCGAAACCTTGAGTCACTTTCTCCGAAGATGCTGCCTGAACTGCCGAGTGTCCCCAGCGACTTCTGTTTTCCTCTCAGAACTCAGGTCTGAATCGTGGCATTGGGTTTCTGCTCATTGGCCAAATTAAGAGTGAACACAGTGCAGAATTGTGGATTTTTTAATTAAGCAAGACTGAATTTAATGTCTTTCTGCAATTCTGCACGCTGTGTACAATTCTCAGACACAATGGTCACACGGACTAAGACTAGGAGGAATTTCAGGCTTCACGTATGGGAATTAGTAGGTCGTGCTTTTTGTAAGCATGATTAGAGGGCTCAGCTGGTAAAACGCTAATTGTATTAACAGAAGCTTGGAAGCTCTGTCAGTTTTCTTCGCTGCCTCTCAGTGTATCATTACTTTGACAGCAAACATACACTTCTCAGCTGTTAAAGAGATTTATTCCTGTTAACTCAGTACCACTGGGCAAGACAGGGAGGACAGTGGAATACATCAACAACCAACAACAACATGTTTTAACAACATTATACGGCATTCCTTCACTTCAGAAGGATGCCCCAAGGCACTGGACAATTGAGGGATTGAACTGAGCTGGGGTTTGGATAAATGAGAGCTGTGTGTCGGGGGATGATGGGAGGGTTGGAGAGGAGGGGATGAAGATGACCAAAGTCAGGGGAAGGTCTTGAGATAGACCTTGAAGGAGGCTACCGACAGAGCAAGGTGAAGCAATTCAGGGATGGGATTGATTGCCCATAGAGCAGAGGGAAAGGATGAGTTGGTAAGATTTAGGATAATGGTAATAATCCTTGCATTGATATAACGCCTTATCACTTCTTCTTATCTTGAAGCGGTTCACAGAATATACTGTTTATTTTGTGGGCGAAACGCAGCAGCCAATTGCGCACAGCAGTGTCCCACAAACAGTCGTGGATTGAGAAAGTCAGAATGGTAGGGTGGTGCAAGGCTGGAGGGCTTCAAAGGTGAGGACAAGGATCTTGAACTCAATGTGTTCTGGAAGGAGGAGATCAAATGTGGGTTATTCTTCACTCAAACCTCTCTTGTGGTCCTAGAATCATAGAATCCTCAGCACAGAAGGAGAGCATTCGGCCCATCGTGCTAATAGCTCAGCCCAGTAATAGAGATCAGCCTGATTATAATAATAATAATCCTTGCATTTTATACAGCGCCTTATCACTTCTTCGAGATGTCTCAAAGCGCTTCATAGAATATACTGTAAAGTGAATTAACTGTATATTTTTGGGGCGAAACACGGCAGCCAATGGCACACCAGTGTCCCACAAACAGTCATGGATTGAGTGACCAAATTATTATTCTTATTTTTTGAAGGAATTATTACCCCCAGAAAGGTGATGTGTCAATCGACTGACAACCGGGTTCCTATTTACCACAAGGTAAACAGAGGAGTAAGGGAACTTGCCCAATGTTTCGACCTGCCAGGAATCGACCCCAGTTCCACTCACTTGCGAGGCGAGTGCTCTAACCACTGAGCTACAGGACTCCACATTGGTCCCTTCTACATTGACTCCGGCATTGGTATCACCCAACAAATTCTCCGGTCGGGACTGTGCTTGCGATAAGCGATTCTAGACAACTGGAGGCTCCAGCAAGCAAACGTCCAAGTAATTCTCCCGGAGACGAGTTAATTATTAATCCTCCAAATCAATGTCATGGAAATCAACCCACCACACTTGAGAAGATCCAATACTCCGGACAAAGTGATTCCATTTCTTAGAACCAGTAAAGGCTGACAGTGCATTAATAGATTAATTGTGCATTAATTGTGTGTCAGCCTGGCTCAGTCATTAACGCTCGGCATGAGACTGTGAATTCAAACTCCCCTTTGGAGGCTTGGTATATAATGCTAGCAAAGTACTGTATTGTTAATGGTGCCAAATGAATGAAGCTGTCTGACCTGTGCCTGTTCAGGTGTCAGTTAAATATCTATTGGAAAAGAGAAGGGAGTTTCTCTCTCTCTCTCTCGAGGTCCTGGTGAACAATAAACCCCAAATAAAATTGGTCACTCACTTCACGGCTTTTGTGGGACATTGATTTGAGCAAAACTGGTTGCATCCTATCACCTACAAAATACACAGTGGCTGCATTTTACAGTAAATCAAGTGCTTTCGGACTTCCTCCCGACATAAAAGGCCCTAAAACCAAACAAAGATTTGGTCTTGCAGGCTACTGAATATACTGTAAATTGAATTGATTGTGTATTTTGCGGGAGATATGCAGCAGCCAATTGTGCACATCAGCGTCCCACAGACAGCCGTGGATTGAGTGGCCAAATTATTATTTAAAAACATTTTTTTTGACAGAATTATTACCACCGGAAAAATGATCCAGCAATCAACTAACAACCAGGTTCTTATTTACTGTTAGGTAAACAGAAGCGCCTGGAGAAAGGAAACTTGCCTAAGGCTTCATCCTGCCCGGGTCCCATAACACACGGCTCTTGCTTTGAGAGGTACGTGCTCTAACCACTAAGCTACAGCACTGCACAAGTCCAAGTTTCCTCTTAAATCATGCTTCTCTCTTAATCCTCCCTGGACCTGACGTTTTTCATCTAAAGCATACAGCTCAAATCCACGAGGGAATGTATCAAGACTTCCAAAGTTTTACTCTGGAGCAAAGGAGATTGAGCGAGCCCAAGAGATGGGGATCAATGATCAATAAAAGGCTGAAGAGCTTGGATGATGCAGGCGTAAGCAGGTTATTTAACTTAAACTGTGAGTCCAGAAGGAAACCAGAGGATATCAGTAGAGAATTAACAATCCTCAAGCAAGACTAGAGATTGTGGGACTGATCTCCCCCTTGAGATGTAAGGAATAGGTTTATGAGAAAAGCACTTTAATGCTAAGCCTGCCTGGTACCTCTCCTCTCATTAATAATCCCTGTATTTGACACAGCCCATATAATGTCCAAATGCTCCCAAGTGCTCACCAGTAAACAAACACAGCATCCGATTTGTCTTCCTCCAGGTCCTCACAAACACTAACTAACTAAATGATCAATTTATTTGTAGAAA